GTAAATGAGAAACAAAAATAGTTGCAATATAAACTGCATAATTTGGGGTCATAAAGTATACACATGGAAGCATCTCAAACAGAAGTTATGATTTATTTATTTATTTATCCATTTCTTTATTCAAACAATTGTTACAGCTACCCATCTCGACAGTGACTCTGGGTGGTGAATAATAATAAAATAAAACAAACAGATGTACAAAAATTAAAATACACAGCAGCCGAGAAAACAAACCATCATCCACATAGCCAGGAGACAGGTCCCTTCACACACTCAGGGCCCCAGGCCTGAGCAATGGACACATAATGTCCAATAACCTTTTCAGTTTACACCTTCTTATGATATAAGAGGGCTATAATATCAAATTCAGTGCTACATGTGGTACAGTGGTGGCTGACCTCCAGTTCTTTTACTTGCATATTCACTAAATGTATACCAAGCCAACAGGTCTCTGCATTTGAAACAAAGGAGTAATTACCACTTGTCCATAGAGCTCCTTTAGTTTGTCTGTCTGCTGGCTGGCTCCCTGAATGGTCTTCAGCGCATTTTCAATCCTGTTCAGCCTGTACTCACAATAAGCCTTCTCAAAAGCTATCAAGTCACTGCAACACATAAATGAAATACAGAGGTCTTTTCTCACTATTCATTTCCCCCAAAGCATTGATACATATTGTATTGTATTGCTTGACAGTTTCACCTCTTGGGGTACTTACTTTACATTACATTATACAATGGAGAATACAGCTTAAGTTCTAGCAATATATTTTGGAATTGTTCAAAGTTGCAGCATGTAAAGTAACAATAAGTGATTAATTATAATTGATGCAATTTTACATATGAACCTAATATGTTAAAAGTATTCTATGTTGAGCATATTGATTTAATGAAATATGATCACAACATCCTAGAATTGTCACTGGATTATGAATTGAGGTCATTTTACTGCACTTTTAAGTATTTAAAGTTAACAAAATCCATCTGTTTCCCCCCTGAATAGTAAATATATACATTAAAACCTTGCAAAGGATGTTAACAGAGGTTTAAGACTGTCAGTTTAGGGCCTTAACTCAGGTCCATATTTAACACAGCTAAGGCTTAGCAAGAGGATGACTATGTCTACAGTGGGGCAAAAAAGTATTTAGTCAGCCACCAATTGTGCAAGTTCTCCCACTTAAAAAGATGAAAAATAAGTATTTGGTCACCTACAAACAAGAAAATAAGTATTTGGTCACCTACAAACAAGAAAATAAGTATTTGGTCACCTACAAACAAGAAAATAAGTATTTGGTCACCTACAAACAAGAAAATAAGTATTTGGTCACCTACAAACAAGAAAATAAGTATTTGGTCACCTACAAACAAGAAAATAAGTATTTGGTCACCTACAAACAAGAAAATAAGTATTTGGTCACCTACAAACAAGAAAATAAGTATTTGGTCACCTACAAACAAGAAAATAAGTATTTGGTCACCTACAAACAAGAAAATAAGTATTTGGTCACCTACAAACAAGAAAATAAGTATTTGGTCACCTACAAACAAGAAAATAAGTATTTGGTCACCTACAAACAAGAAAATAAGTATTTGGTCACCTACAAACAAGAAAATAAGTATTTGGTCACCTACAAACAAGAAAATAAGTATTTGGTCACCTACAAACAAGGAGAGGCCTGTAATTTTCATCATAGGTTGACCAAATACTTATTTTCCACCATGATTTGCAAATAAATTCTTTAAAAATCAGACAATGTGATTTTCTGGATTTTTTTCCCCATTTTGTCTCTCATAGTTGAGGTATACCTATGATGAAAATTACAGGCCTCTCTCATCTTTTTAAGTGGGTGAACCTGCACAATTGGTGGGTGACTAAATACTTTTTTGCCCCACTGTATCTCTCTAACCTAAGTCCTAATGGGCAGCTGACAGTTCTTCAACTACAAAATAAAGGATTTGAAAGAAAGAGCTCATTATTCCTAAGGCTTATATTACTATATTTGATCTTTAACAAAGGTACCAGTTAGGGAGAGGGGGATTACCATGGATCTGATAGGAAAAAAAACTCCTAAAACAAGCATGCTGTGGCAGTGGGGGAAGCAAACTAAAGCTAATAACATCAGTTATTTCTGTCTCCATGGACAATTTCATATTTTTATGCAACTGAAACTCTGGAATATTTAGCACACTTACTAATGGATACAATACCTTGTTGGATTGATATTAGTAGCATTCTAGAAATCATTTTATATGAGCAGATTTATTTCAAAGCAACTGGACACTCACTTTAGTAGGGTTAGCATATGTCAGAATATCTAGCTGCAGCTGAGTTCTAAGGCACCTTCTTATGTTATAAGAGAATAGGGCTGTCTGTGCTTTGATAATTATGTCTGAGCGAGCCTGAAAAAAGACACGACTGCTTCAACAGTCTCATCAGTAGACTTATTAAGGCAGCCATTTCTTTCTCCAGGCTCACAAAGAAGACCAAGAAAAGATCAGGCTGCTTTAAAAAGTAACAGAGGTACAGTAATTGTGTAAGTTCAGAAATACTTCCTTTAAATCCTTTTTGAAATAGCTGCAGCCCTAGGAAAGAACAGCTATCTTGTTTTCTATAAATGTGCGTGTGTGTTTAAATTTTACACATCCATTTAATTTTTCATATTTCAAAAAATTCAAAAAACAACAGAGGTATGCTGTCTAATAATATTTAATACTTAATACTTACCTAGTTAATACTTTGACATGGGTGTGAATCACACTCAGGGCTTCTTTAAAGCTTCCATTTTGTATAAGACATACCACTTTGCAGTGTAAAGCAGTCACATCATCCTTACTGATTTGTAGTACTAGAAGCAAATTCAATGCATTAAGCTACAGAATGAACAGTACTGAAAAACTGTACTTGTTACCTATTCACACCTACCATTTTGTAAACTTAGCTGGGTTTATAAGCTGAACGTTCTGAAGAATATATGCTCTTGTACTGGTCAATTTTGTTTTTGGAGAGCAATGTTTTTTTGGGGGTTTTTTTTTTTTGGTGGAAGGTTTTCATTTTGGACAAAAATCACCAACAGCATAATTATTGTCTTTCATGAACTACTATGTCTAACTGAAACAAAGTCTGTCTTGATTTTCTCCAAATAATTTATCTTTAAAATGGAACTGTGTTTTAAATTCACTGAGAATATGATAAAGGGGACAAATGAGTATTTTTCTAATACAGTACTACTAGGAAGTGGGATCATGATAAATATTGGTTAATTTTTCTTTTGCCTAATTACAGATAGGCTGTGCCTGGAAGCATTGCAAACAAGTGGCCATTCAGGGCAATTGTGAGGAAAGGCCAGCTTGTTGCAGTAATTACATATGCATTTTCCATGAAAGGCTGTTACTTTCTATTTTCCCTATGCCTTTAAAAGCTGTACACCAAGGAGCCATTCAACAAAGGAAGCATTTTCTTAATGGAGTGACAAGAAAGACATGTAATGAATTCCTACCTGTCACACAGCTGTTAAAGCCATCAGAACTCTCTTGAGATGAACACACAGAAAGGAGTTTGTGCAAAGCATATGAAATTGATATTTTGCAAAGCATGTTAATAGACTTGAAGCACTCTTTGTTGAAGCATTAGAGTAGTAACAGCTTTTGGAAGCTTCTGTAACCCCATAAAAGGCTATGCCTGGTTGTCCATATACACAAACAAGCAAATAGCTGGGAATTGCCTCTGAAGTGGCTGTGTGAGCCTTCCAAAGGATATTGCTGCTTTAATATTTAGAGGAGAGGTGCTCTGCTTGCACTAATGTAACCCCCCCCCCGTTGAGTTTTTCTTAACTTAGGTCAGTGGGCAGGGTGAGGTGGAAAGGAAAAGTTTTGCAAGCTGGCAAGAGACAGATACAGTAAGAATGAATGTTGTGATTTACAGACTCCTGTATTAATAGTCTGACCCTTTGCTTGAGGCCACAGATACTGTGCTTTGGAATTTAACTCCTATACAACAAGGAACATCAATGAATAAACATCTTCAGAGGACCACTCTGTCTGAAAATAGTTATACCAATAACAGCATTCCTAAGAATAAGGAAGAATTTGGACTCTCACCTTGGCGATAGTAAAGATAATAGTTCTTTTTTGTATTAATAGGAAATTTGATGGCTAAATGTGTTTCAAACTATATAGCTAGCTGTTGCTCTGCAAATTCTCTTGTGGCTCTCTGAGCTCACAAAGGTTACACTAACACACTTTGGGCAGTTCCCAATTCAAATGCTTTGCCCAGCTGTCTGAACACTTCAATACTTATACTGTAGAACGTTTTTGAATACAGTAGTGGGAGTCATTCTTTCACACTAGTTTTACAAAATCCCAGAAAGGAAAAACCACTTTATCACTACCATTCCTATGTCACAGATCTTGGGGTGAAAAGAAGCATTGATAATCTAAGACCAAACCAAAGAAGCCAACAACCATTCTCAGCAGTGAGGTTTTTACATGACGAGATCAGCATAAAAGCAGATGCATTATATCTTTAAGCTAATGTAGAGAAGTGGAGCAGCCCAGAATAACAAGCTCGAGTTAAATTTCACCCCAGGCAGGGCAAGCTGTTACTCCCTTGGTGCTGCTCCACCTACGGCAAGGGAAAGACAGGTATCCATCTACGTTACAAAGTCGGAAGAACTCCACTGAAGACAACTGCACCGTCACCGGTGTTGCTGCAACTGTCTACAACGGAGGGTTGCCGGTCCACACTGATCCTCCTCTGCCTCGAGAGAATACAGAATAACCGCAGATGAGGCGGCAAAGCTCACTCACTTTTATTGACGGACTTCAGCGCGCGCCCGAAGTCTCCATTCTGGCCGCAGCGATTCACTTCGCTCCAGAGCGAAGCTACGGAGGCAGCTCCAGCCGCGCCAGAGCCGCTTCCGCTACCCGCACCCGCCGCCATCTTGGCAGAGGTAATCAAGTAACCGAACTTCAGAGGCAGAGGAAACAGCTGAACGTGCCCCTTTGACACCGGAACTAAATCTAGGTCCACGCTGTGTTGTCGTGTACAGTTCTCTATGGTGCGTCGCGATGTCTTACAGCAGTTCTATGGAGCAAGCGTGCTCAATGGAGGCTGGGTGGCGAGCTGGGGGTTGGCTTGTTCACTGTCGGACGTATTTTCTGACGCCTCGAAAATTTTCTGATACGGTGAATGTGTGATCACTTTCTTTTTAGGGCTAGCCTAATCTGGAAACCTCTGAAAGAGTCAGTAGAACTCCAACCTTCAAAGTTTTGGTTCTGGAAGATCTTTTAAAGAGTATGTAAGTACGTATGTATGTATGTGTTTGTTTGTTTGATTTTTATCCCGTCTTTATTATTTTTTATAAATAACTCAAGGCGGTGAACATAACTGATACTCTTTCCTCCTTTTTTCCTCACAACCACCACCCTGTGAGATGGGTTGGGCTGAGAGAGAGTGATTGGCCAAAGTCATTTAGCCGGCTTTCATGCCTAATTTTAATATTAGTGGGGAAATGTAAAGAATTTGGTGCATTAGCAGGTTTCAAGATTAATAAACAAGATGAATATGTTAACAAAAAATATGAAAATAGAAGATCAAACAGAATTGATAAATGAAACAGGTTTTAAGATTGAGGAGAAGGTAAAATATCTGGATATCACTGTGACAAACGTGAACTGTATGTTATTTCAAAATAATTATGTTAAGAGAATGAAGTTTAAAAAGACATGTTAAGATGGGAGAAACTACAACTGTTGCTGGGGAGAATTTCTGTGATAAAAATGAATATCTTGCCTAGGATGTTTTGTTTCAGACAGTACCTGTTTTGACAACTGATGGGGTCACCTTGTGGATTTTTCCTCTTTTGTTTGGAATTCCATCCCAAAATCAAATCCACTAATCCAGGCAAGGAAATTGGGCGAAATGAGGAACAACCTCAGTGACAGTGAGAGGCAGCCTTACAGCAACAAAGCTATTGAGCTGATGGAGAAATATGAGGAGGAAGCTGCAGCCGCCGCAGAAAAAGGTAGAGGAGGAAGAAGACGAAGAGGAGGAGGGGGGAGGAAGACAAACACATGAGAAACTGTGTATAATCCTTGTTTCCATGTGAATACCATAGAGTAGGGAAAACACCATTCAGAAAAGAAAAATCTGGTGCCTCTCACTTCAGATGGTGCCTTACTTGCTCTTTATTAGGATTAATGACGCAAATTTGGATTTTGATCATGATACTGTAACCTTTTTGGAAGTAAATAAAGTAAGTAAATATGTAAAAGTGCTCTAGGAAAATACAATGATTTTTCTTTCCATAACTGGTTTACGTTCAGTAGCTAGGGGCACCTGCCAGTGCCCTGAAACTGTAACAAAGTTGTACATATTTCAACATTTTTAAAACAAAAAGGGAAAAAATGGAAACAGACGCCCTAGTGTTCTCAACTCCCTGCACTTTCCTGTCAGTATAACAAGGCATTTAAAAATGTTTCAAGCATCGTATTTTTTAATTTGTAAGGTGGTATTTAACTGTATGGTTATTGGCTAGAAAATCCTGGGTTATAAACTACGTATCTATAGTTTGTAAAAACTAGACAAATTCTTATAGTTCTTGCTTTGGTGACCCCTGAGAAGGGAAAAGCTTTAGGAAAAAGTCTCATTGTTTTCCCTCGGAAAGGGCTGTCTCAAAGCGTGCACTGCGAAGGTAGATCTAATTTACACTACAGTGAGCGTACATTTAGCTTAAAAGTTATCTTTTTGTATATAGTGAAATAGCATTCTGCGACCATTCTTAGTTGTGAAAGAAGGGATTCCCCCATTCAGGTGGCATGAGAAAAAAGAAATTGTATGGAATCTTTTCTCTTTCTTTTAGTTTAAAATGGGGTAGTTCTTAAACAGAAGCTGTAAGTCTCCTTCATTGTCAGCTTAAAAGTGAGGAGAGGGTACAGAAAAGTTCAAAAACACCTCTGTACTTAAACAAGAAAATTTGCAAAAAACGTCATGTTGTGGGCTTTTGGTATATTTAGAATGCTGAAATGTTTTTGAAGCAAAAATAAACAGTATTACATTAAAACAAAGACAAAGTTAAAACACCTCAAAGTGGTTTTCCTCTTTCCTTTTTTCTGTTTTGGTTTTTAAATTTTAAACTTGCAGGAAAGGATTTGTTTGCTACTAATCTTTTAAAAACTGTTATTCAAATCTTACTAATACATTGTAATAATAATACATTGGTAGCAGAATTTGAATGGTTGAATGTAGCATTACATGTATGTGTAATAAAATACATGGAATATATGTCAAGAGCCAAATATAAGACCAATAGTAATCTTAAATAAATTCTTTATTTAATAAAGGAAATGTTAAATAAATAAATAGATAAATTCCTAAAGAATGAAGCAGTTTTTTCTTATAGAAAATCTTGCTACTAAGGGATGCTAATTAAAAATCCAAAACCATCTGATATTTAAATTGTTTATTGTTTTTTCATCAAAATTTCTGCCTGTAGGATGGCAATGTTTCTCAGTGCATATTACATGGGAAAAAACATACATCTCAAATATCTAACACCTGATAATTGGAGACAGCAGTATTTCTAATAGGCTCTGTAGCCACAATGCTGTCCACAAATTAAGCAAACACTACTGTAAAATATAATAGAGTTGGCACCCTTGAAGAGTAGCCTGTCATTATCACAAAGCAATAGTAGTACCGGGGAGAACCCATTTTGGTACAGTACAGGATTGGGAGGATCACAAAATGAGTTTGCATCTATCTACAAGTAGTCCTCACTTAAAAACCATTCGTTTAGTGACCGTTTGAAGTTATGATGGTGCTAAAAAGTGACTTATGACCAATGCCTGAAGTTACGACCATCCCAGAACCCCTGCAGCCATGTGATCGCAATTCGGGTGCTTGGCAACCAGCTCGGACTTATGACGGTTGCAGCATCCTGGGGACATGTGATCTCCATTTGTGACCTTCCCAGCTGGCTTCCGACAAGCAAAATCGATGGGAAACTCTGTGATTCACTTAACGACCACAAGATTTGCTTAACGATCAATGGTGATTCGCTTAACTACTGCAAAAAAGGTAATAAAATCAGGCCCAATTTGCTTAACCACCACCCTGCTTAACAACCAATTTTCCGATCCATGTGGTCATTAAGTGGGGACTATCTGTATATGATGGCTAAGACTATTCCACCATCAGTGCAGTGCAGGAAATTTCCAAAGGAGTTTCAGGGGTGTGATTGCATCAATCTCAGTATCATGCAGCATAAGTTGCATTTCTAGTCCCCAAGACTTATATGGGAACTGTTCAGACATTTAAAAGTTGAAATGGGATGTAAATACTTGTGCAGGTTCTGCAAAATATGCTTGTACTTGACCATTTTCTGTCTTTCAGGAAAATAATATATATTTTTGAAGATTCAATACAGATATAACTGTAATGATTACCAGGCTTTAGAGATAATTTTCTGTTTGAAATCTGTATCACACAATTTTAAAGAAGGGCATAGGAATCCTTGTTTTTATATAATGGTCCACTGATAACTATTACAGTCTGCAAACATTCCCTTCTTATGTCTGCAAATGTAGGCCATGATTCAGCTCTACTCCCCTGGATGGAGTTCTGTCGGTAGAAAGGGACCAGCAAATCAATTCATTGTCTTCTTCCCTCCTTTCTCTACATGCTGTATATTGCTGTGCACCAAGTGCTATTTGCAACTGGAGACCCATGCACAGTACCCTTGCATGCATTCACCTGTCCTTTATCATCCCATGGCACACTGTGAAACATGCATATCTATTGAGTAGCCAAGGAGGGAGGAGACAAGGCACTCTGGACTGGGCTAATAGTGGAGAGGACCATGTCACTAGCATTGTTTTAAAAAAGGGACTATGTTTAAATGACTATATCAAATCTTGCCTAGTTTGCATAAAATCACATGCAAGCATAGACAGACACGTAGGTATCTTACTAAGGAGTTACCAGGAAAGCATGACTACAAAAGAATTATATCTACAAAACATGGTAATTTATGGTTAATAGAAACAAAAAACCCAAGTGGCATGGAACAGATATTAAATATCGCAAATTACATGTATTATATTTTAACAGAACTACAGTTATGATCTAACATTTAATACATTAGTGCATAAATGAAACATTAACAAAATTACTATAAAATCTTCATAGTCAAAGATTTGCAATGCAGCCAAGCTCTGACTGTATATTTATACAGTAACTAGTCTGTCAGGTAAATGGTTACCTACAGTGGAAATGTTAATCTACATTTGAAAAACCTTTTTATACCATGTATAAAGTAAAAAAAAAAAAAAAAAGGAAGCAGAAATTATCTTTTTATACTTTGTACATACAACAGGTGCAAATGAATGGGAAAGGAGCAGGATCACTTATTTCCACATGTCTGGTGCAGAGTTCCTTTTGCTGGATTATAACCATAATCAGTAGTTTCATTAACCTCTCCTTTGGTAAAACTTAAAAAAGAATTGATATAGAATGTTGAAGCACACAATACATAAACACAAAGTTTTCAGAAAAGGTTTTAAAATGTCCTGTCTTCCACTCCCCAAGGAAAATTAAAATTCCATCTTCCCCCCTTTCAGATCATCAAAAAATAAAAATTGGCAAAGTATCTGTACACTGGTCAACCTTTTAAAGTAATGAACACTTAGGTATCCCATTATCATCAAGAGTTTTCTCATTCTCATCTAAATGGAATCACATATTCAGCCGCACATATAATAAAAAAACCTACCAGCCAGCTGCTGAATGCTTTTTTCAGCTCTTTTCCAAAATCCCACAACAATATACATACCTGCTCTTTAAGGGCGCAATCCAGTTTCTAGAATCTTTCTTATTTTCAAAAAAGAATTAGAGTAGTGAACACATGGTTAATTCTCTGACTAAAATCAACAGGCCGTGTGTACAATTCTGTGCATCACCATAATCTTTGCTGAATTCAGGAGCTTGCTTCCAAACACATGTGCCTAGGACCCAGTCAAAAGCCTCATACTTTTGATTGGATTGTGCCCACAACTTCTTTTCTTTTTCTCAGTTTCACAACTGCACATTACAGTTTTAAAATAATCAATAGTCAAAAGTTCAACTTTATATTTAAACACAGCTATGATGTTCTTCAAACAAGAGACATTTTAAACATCACATTTAAGCATTTTGTTCTCACATCAAAATAAAGTATTAAAATAAAACAGCATCAACAAGTTAAAAATGTTTAAATCAAGCAAAATGTTAACATTGTTTGTGAAAAGAGAAGAAAAGTGGCTACAGAGTGTCCTACGCCTAGGATCCCCTCTGTGGAAACAGTACATTCACTTTATTGCCCATTCTTTCTGTAGTATGGATGGTCACTGAATGACATGAGATGTTGATAGTTCTCATTCCAACTCTTTTCACCATTGTTGCCAGCTGAAATCATCATTGCTGCCGAAAACCAAGAAAAATCCTAAGATGGTAGCAAATATGACTGTGTTTCCTGTGAGGACAAGTGCACAGGCACCCCACTTAATCTATGGAGAAAGGAAAGAGAGAGTTATATGCACAAAGAAATAAACAAATACCTAAATAGAAGCTGCATTATTACGTTATTTCAGTGATACACCCAACATAATTGCTCTGTGAATGGGGGAAACTCCATCCTTTCACAAAGTAGTTCCATTTAATGCAAACTATTTTTGAATTGTTAATATTTAGACTTAATGGGAAGGTAAACAACTTGGTATCCTCTGAATTTCAATACCCTCAAACTCTACTTTTATCAGGTAGTCCCCATCCCCCACTGACTGAATATTATATATCAAAAGGGATTATGGTATGTGAACTTTTCACAATTCATTTTTTTGCATTACAACTCTTAATGTACAGTTTTCATAAGTTAACAAAATCTTATTAACTTGTGCTTTGGAGGCTTGTGCGTCTTATTCTAGAAGCAAATATGAAACACCAAAGGAAAAGACATGTTAAAAAGAAGGAGTTACTAACCAGTTCTGCTCTGGCAAATACAATTGGAAGTCCAAATGCTGAGACAACAATGCCTGTTGTAAGAAATATGGCAAGTTCCTTGCAAGCATTACTTGCAGCATCTGTATCTTCAACAACTCTTCTTGCTATGCAGTATGGAATTGGAGAGAGGGTGTAGAAGAACAGAACAAACAGTGGCCAATATTTGCTGGAAGCAAATGAAAAGGCATGTTTTTATTTTTTATTCTTTCACTTATATTTGCTTCAAAAATCACACTTCCCTTATATAAATATTTATATCGGTTTCCCCATTTCTATTTATTCATTGGGCACACATGTGCATAGAGAAACTTAAGACTTTTCTTGTTTTGTCTAGTTTTAAACATACTTCTGCGTATGATAGTCAAAAATACCACACAAATACACAGCATTAAGTATGTGATAGATCGGTAGGGATAGGGCTCCCCACCTAAAATGCTGATCAAGCTGTGGTAGCTTTTTGGAATAGGCTCTCCATAGGTGAAGAATCCTTATGAAATACTGCACAGAGAGCACAAAGAAGAAATTGATCAGTAGGCGAGATTTTGGCAGGCAAGTGTAATACATTGAGATTAGCCTGAAATCTAATGAGAACGTAGCCCTTTAAGTGCTCCTTAACCAAAATAGCAGAAGTGATTAATTGAAGGTAGTGGGATTAAAATATTATACTTCCAATCGCATATAATTATAGATCAGGCTGAAAATTATAGAACAGATTGAAATTCTGTTGTCACTTACTTTTTCTATGCGTCTTCAAAAGATTTGTTTGTTACATGCCAACCTGGGAGGCTTTCTAATTATGAATCTACATGCTAGATAATCTAGGTATAATGTTCTGAAAACCGTTCAACAGACATAAAACAATAATTTCACACAATGCTTAAAATGGCTATTCTCAGCTTGGAAAAACTGCCTTCTTTCTCCCTCTCCCAGCCTCCAAGGGGTGCTAGACCTTCACTGCAATCAGCATTGGTGTTCTGTGTTTATTTAATTTTATAAACTGCAAGAAAAAAGGAAATACAACACCTGTAGTCTGGAAGGGCACAACCAAGCATCAGGAACATTAGTCCAACAGCTCCCCCAAAGGACAAGCTGATTAAAGCTGTAAAGGCAGATGTAAACCCTTATCAGTCTCAAAACTATATGATTCCTCATCAAACACTAATTATAGGTAAAAGAGAAATCAATGTTTTGCTTCTGTTTTTTGAACTCATTACCTCTTGTTAATCTACTCTGCACAGCTGGAATTTAGAACACTTATATTTTTACCATAAAAACTCCAATGAGCTTGAAGGAAGGGTAAAACATGTTAATGTAAAATGCCCTTATCTCCAAAAGTATAATTTAGATTATACTTAATCTACAGTGCTTTAGTATTTTCTATATCATATTTACACTCATATAAGTAATCATTCCCTAAGATGAGAAAGAGCTTATACATGCACATTTATGCTTTGTAACAAATATGATTATTGATAACTGATCTTGTGGCCATTCCCTTTTTCAATTTGCCTGCTTTCTGCTAAATTGACACAGGTTTTATAGTTACATTATTGCTGCAGATTTTCAAATGGAAAATCAGCACATTCATAAATAGTGTATTAATTGATCTTCCATTAAGTATCATGAATACAGAAACATTTAAAACTTAAAAACTTTTCACTGATGCTGAAAAGATTTTACAGGCAATACTTCAGTCATCTTTATATTTCTGTTATAAAAATGGGAGGTCAGGGGACAGAAAATTCATTGAGTTGCTTGAGATTACCCAATGAATTTATGGAAGAAGCAAGATCTTGGAGTCACTGAAGCTTATGTGACTAACTTCTGAGGAGACAGGTAAGGATTGTACTATGTTGTTAATCAACAGAGTCTATACCACATTAGCTGTAACCTAGCAAATTGCTAGCCAAATGTTTATGATCATTTTCACTTTAATGTTTCTAGCTTCTGAAGAAACACAGTGAACAGAATCCAGTATGTACTTTGCTATGCCTGAAATATACTCAATACATCTTCTTTCTTCAAACATTCTCTTCACTGTTATAATAGCCAATGACTACAATTACTTCTGCTTCAATTTCATTGGTGCTTTACTGGCACCAAGTCTTTAAAGGATCATCCTATCCTTTAGTTTAGCGCTGCCACATTGCCATCAGTTCCCAGCAGGAGGAATCCAACTAGATTTTACAACAGGCTTGACAATCATTAGCCCCAGGGCTGCCACAAGCCGCCTTTTTGCAGCCCTCAAAGATCCCTCTCAGTAGGATAATTGAAAACCAACAGCATAGTTTCTTGCCATTTTCAGGAATGAAACAGATGAAAATAGGCATATTGGTTAAAAAAAGAAGAAGAAACCTTTTCCCCAAAGTGATCTCATCTAAGTGTCTGATGTGGTTCCACCCACTTTGCAGCACCCCACTCCCACCAATTTTGCAACTGGGCTCTAGCAAGTTCTGCCTGAGAAAATTATTATTTCTCAGGCAGAAATTATATATTCTGCCTGAGAAAAGAATTATTAGCCACTCCTGGCTAAAGTTCTTTTGCCAAAACAGTCTTTTCCACTTTGGACAATAAACACCTGACAGGATACATTGCATGATACAAAGACTTTACAGGCATTACCTCAGTAATCTTTATAGTTCAGTGAAATAGCGTATTACTATTTAAATAATAATAATAGCATCTTAACATTTCACATTAAGCTATTTTTATGGTCCTTGTAATATTCTCCTAAATTGCTATTAAGCACACTTCTTTCAGCCCTTTTCCATGTACGCACACATGCATGCACAAACATGCATAAATACTGCTATGGGTGTTCATAGTTATGGTTAATGATTCAACCACATCAAAGAGGGATAAAAGTTCAAAATAGATATATATATTTTAAAAATAGAGTTATTAAATGTACAGTAGTACTATCTTTTTTCAGTCTTGTTTTTTAATACAAAATATGAAGATATTTCTACCAAACCTATCTGGAAAAGATAGGCAGTCAAAACCTATACATACAGTACTTATTTAGAATTATTAGCCATTTCTACAAAATTGAATAGTGAAAAACTCCACAAGAGTAGCTGCATTAGTCTATTTCACAAATATAACTAGGAACAATATGCATTGTACAGATTTACAGTGACGAGTTCATCATACTGTATTCTACTCCTGCCAAGCTTATCCCACCAAAAATCAGTTTCGATTTAGGATGCTGCAAGTATGAGTACAGCGGGATCCACGTTCAGGCAGGGGAAAAATAATGGGATAATGGGGGTTTCAGTCTGATACTTCTGGAGAGCATGAATTTAGTGAAGTCAAGCCTAAGATTTCATTCCCTTCCCAACATCCGCCAATCAGCCTGTCCTTGGGAAGACGAGACAACCCTTCGCGTATGCCGGTATCTGACACAGATTTCTGCAGCCGGAAGTTTTATGCAAGCTGCCATGACTAATAATCATGTATATCTATCCGACCACAAACTGAAACTCAGCCGTCTAGAGCTGCCATCCTAGACCTAATAGCTTGAAAGTTGAGTCCAGTGAAAACCACAGGCCCCGCTACCGAGTGAGCCCTGCGGCGGTTGCCTCGCCACGCAGCGCCGAGCCGAGCTGAGCGGGCGGGCCTGAGGCCACAGAGGCAGGGGAAAGAAGACAATAAGGGGCTCTCCACAGGCGCGCTTTCCAGCCTCAGCGGCGCAGCCATGCACCGGGGCAGACCGCCGTTGTCATGGAAACGCAGCGCGCCCCCCATGAACATTGCCGGCATACGTCACCGTCAGGGTGGGGGCGACGTCCCTCCCCTCCACCAACGGCCTGGTCTAGGGGGGATCCCGTCCGCCCTCCCCAAGCAGCTTCCCTCCTCCCCGTGCCCTCGCCCGAAACCAACTCAGCAAGGCTACCTTTGATGCCGGCCATGATGCTGCTACAGTATTACTGTCGCCCAGGCCGCTCCCAACCAACCACCAAGGGCAACAAATGCGGCTAGACAAGCCCCGGAAGTACGCGCTCGAGACATCAGCAAGACTTCCGAGGAGCTGCTGTTCCTGAAACGGCGGACGTAACTTTGGAACAAAAGGCAAAGCTTCGTGTATGTATTTTTTTTTTTTCCTTCCCAGGGAAGAGGTATTTTCCGAAACAGAAGAAAAATCTTGGGACGGTAACGCATGGGGCTGGTCGCTGTTGTCTCCGCTGGGAAACAAAACTCGCGACTTTGGGGCGGGGTTTTCCCCTATGAAAGCAGATTTAGGGGAGCTTTCACTTCAGTGGAAGTGATTCTCTTTCAGGCTCCCCCCCCCAACCCTTCACCAAGTTCTTGTAATGCGCCGTTTATAGCAAACCAGTCTCTCACGGGAGAAGCCCCCAAGACACAGACGTTTTAACATGGTTCTCTTACATACAATTCATGAATTTCACGTTCATTTATTATTTTTTCGTATCAGTGATAATACAACAAGAACCTACAGATGTTACGGTGATTAAAATAAACTAAACATGAAGGGAGGAAAAAAAAAAAACTAAGAAAAAGATGGAAGACCCGTTGATTGATTAAGTACCCTCAAGTCATTTTCAACTCCCAGCGACCACATAGATAGATTTTCTCCATGACAATCTGTCCCTAAACTGTTCTTTCAAGTCTCCCAATGCCACTGTAAATGAGTCCATTGACCTTGCTGCTGATTGTCCTCTTCTCTTTCCTTCCACCTTTCTTAGCATTAGAGCCTTTTGATTTCAATATAAAGTTAATTCAGTCCTTAATACTGAATCTTGACTATATAGAGACATATTGTTCCACTTTCTTCCTTTTTCAACAAGGCCCTTGTCTTTTTAAAATTCCTTTTTAAGGTTATTGGACAAAATATCCAGCATCAAAAATAGTTTTGAAAAGTTTGTTTACTGTTGGTTGGACTAGTAAGAGAGATTTCATCAGTGATTTGCTAATATATTAATGTACTTGTATAGTTGCAATCATTTTATAAGTGGACTGACTGATGAAAGATTTTTTTTCCTGGATTTTTATTGCAAAACAATGAATTAGCGCAACTAAAGATAATGGCCAGATATTATTAAATAGAAGTTATGGTAGATCTACTAGCTTATCTTGCTGCAGACACAAGTCAACACCAGAATTACTTTCATAATTTCACAATCTTCTCCATCTAGTATTTGTTTATCATGCCACAAAAAGGCCTTGTCTGTTCTGAAAACCTGATTAATTGTACAAGCACATATACCTATTTTATCTAGAAAAGGTCAGCTTCAGCAACTAATTATTCAGAATACTGCTTATTCTCCTTTAACGTTGATTCTAATTGCTCTAGCAAACCACAAAATTTGAGGAGTTGCTACACAAATATACAGAAATAATTTTCATAAATATTTTTTATAAATTATCTAAGTGTTGTAAGATATATTCAGAAATAGTTGCAAACAAAATATTAGGGTTTGTGTTGAGAAATTATCAGTGTTATGAATGCTATGTAAATGAACTATTTGAAATAGTAAAATAAATCATTGTGACCAATACACATATACACATACACATCCTATAGCCCATCTACTCTACCATTCTGTGCCACACAAAGCTTGGCCAGAAGTATTCAAGAAGCTCACAAATAATAATCGTCTTTCATGGTTGCTCCCAAGCAGCTGGCATTTTAATAATCAATCTTCATGGCTATATACTGTATTTGGGGCAATTTCTCTCTCTCAACCCAATCCACCTTACAGGGTGGTGGTTGTTGTGCAGAACATACTGTAGAAGGCAAGAGCATTGGGTATGTATGCTGTGTCTTGAGTTGATTAAAATAAAGGTGGGGTAGAAATTAAATATTACAGTCCTTCATTAATATGTTCAGTCCTCTTTGAAATCCATCCAAATTGGTGATGGTCATGACAATTGATGGCAGCAGATCCCATCATTTAACTCTGTTATATAAATGTTTCCTTTTATCAGTCCTAAATTTCTCTTCATTTAGTTTCTAAGGATAATCCCAAATTCTGTGTAAGAGAGATCATATGAATGCATGTAAATGATATAACCAGTAATTTAGAGTGAAAGAAACAGTGAAGGTGTAGCTGTTTATTTATATTATTTTTTAAGAGCTTCAAATCCCACTTTATAACATCTATTGTTAACTCTTAAAGCTACACATGTATTGAAGAATGAATGTTCTGTTAAACAAAATGAGTAAATACATACCACAGGACTCAGTTGGAAGGCTATAAATCATTACATTTTTTTTTTTTAAAGAGTCAATTCCCTTTTATGGCAGTTGATTTTTTTTCTACTATTTACAATTACAGTTCATTTGGTAGCAAGTCATATTAGCAGAGTTTGCATGACATAAAACTAGAAAGCTTGGATAACTGTCATTTTAGTCCAAACAGTGTCCATTTCAGCTTCAGATGACACAACAAGCAACAAAACTTGGTTAAATGCTATTTTGCAAACTCATCCAACATTTTTAGGTAAGCACCTAATCCTTATGATAGAAGGTTTCAAAATCTTTACGAGGGCTACCAGGTCTGGGATACAAAAATCCAGATAACCACTAGATGTCAGCAACGAAATTCAGAAAATACGAACTGGTTGCTTCCATCTAATGATTATCCCGATTTTCACAGTACTATCTTTGGAGTCCTTGATGTTCTCTGAGCTTGGTTGTTTTCTTGCAAACGTTTCCTTACCCAGTTGGTGCAGAAGATGTTACCTAGCTGGGTAATGAAACATTTGCAAGAAAACACA